AAAAAAAAAAAAAAAAAAAAACAAAAGAAGAAGAAGAAGAAGAAAATATAGATCCATAAATGGAATATATATGAACCCAGTAAAGGGGAAAACCTTTGATATAGTCATACAAAGAAAGAGCAATAGAAAGATAAATTAGTATAAAGTGTAATTAGCTTGTAAAAAGAGGAAAAATTTGTTTGATTGTAGAAAGTGGTAGGGTGAAAAGATAAGACGTCGTCATATTTCATATTTGCCAACCTCTCCCTTGGAAATAGAGAATCTCTTCTACTAGAGATAACTAATAACTTAGATAATTAAATGCTTTACTACTACATACTGATACACTATTTTAGGAATCTTGATAATTAATTAAGTACTTAAAGGTTTTATGTTGTCAATTGCTACCTTAAAATTTTTTAGAGATAGAGAAACTTCATTTGAGATCAAAGTTTCGATATTATGAGATTAAAACGAGTTGTGATTAGGGTTTTTAGAATTTTTCAAATATTTTTGAGTTATGTCAATGGCTTGTGGAGACAAAAAAATCAAAAGTTTATAGTCTCATTTACAAATTAATTACTTTGGTACTTACTTTTCTAGTTTTTACAACAACAACAGAAATAGCATTGTTTGTTATGAAAATTGTGAGGACGAGACTTTGCAGCAAAATGGAGAATGAATTCCTTTTAAACTCTTTGATTGTTTATATTAAAAAGAAAATAATTCGATTATTTAGTGTAGACTCTATTATAGATAGATTTCATAATATAAAAACTCATCAAGTATTATTTTAATTTATGATATAAAAGTAAGTTTTTAAAATTGCAATGCATTATTTTGAGACTTGAAAAGTCAAACCCCCTAACTAAAATTCCTGGCTTTGCCATTGTCGGTAACTTTGTTCTTGTTCATAAATATTTTGCTTACGCATGGGAGAGTTTCAACAACCCTACAGACACCCTTTTGCCAACTCGAGAACTGCAGCTTGGTGGAATTTTATCTTCTAAACAGACGCCAAGCAATTACTCCAAGGGAAAGTTCCAACTCCACTTGCTACCAAATGGTAACCTTGTGCTTGACACCATTTCCTTGCCCAAAGCGCATGAAAATGATGCCTATTACATCAGCAACACTTTTGATATTGCTAATAGCTCAAATTCTGGTCAAAGGTTAGTTTTCAACTAATCAGGCTACATCTACATTGTCCTAAGGAATGGGAAGACTGTTAACCTAAGTGACCTAGTGCGTTTACAGGATTATTATTATAGAGCAACACTTGATTTTGATGGAATTTTGACGGAATATGCCTATCCCAAACCTCAAAGAGCTGGGTATGCTGATCAGTCCTGGTCCATTGTCTGGTCCACTCCTTCTAACATTTGTCATGCAATGAATGGTGATGAGGGACTTGGTTCTTGTGGCTATAACAGCTACTGTCTAATTGGCATTAATGGACAGCCGAGTTGTCATTGCCTCCCTGGCTTCAATTTCTCTGATCCAGACAACAAGTTCATTGGATGCATTCAGGACAGGATACAGGATTGCAATCCGGGTCCTTCAAAAGCAGAGGATTTGTATAATATGCATCAGTTACCAAACACATACTGGCCGAACTCTGCAAATTATGAACGAACGGAATCAAATGAAGATGAATGTAATCAATCTTGTCTCTATGATTGCGAATGTGTGGTTGCTGTACTTGCAGAAGAAGAAGCTGCCGCTAACGAATGGGAGGGTGGATAGGAGCACCAATGGCAAAGCATTCATAAAGGTAGCAAGATCTAATGCTTCTAATTGTCCAAATCCGGCAGGACCTAATATGCCTCCACCGCAGAAGAAAGCTCAATCAACTCCAATTCTGGTGAGATCATTTCTTTTAGGTGGCTCAGCATTTATCAATTTCCTGCTTATAACTGCAATCTCTATACTAGCTACTTGGTCTTGCAACAGAAGACAAAAACCGAGTCAAATGTCAAGCATCTTGGAAAGTAATCTACGGTCTTTTGCTTACCAAGATCTTGAGGAAGCCACAGATGGGTTCAAGGAAGAACTCGGGGGAGGTGCTTTTGGAATTGTGTATAAAGGTGTTTTGCACCCTCCTCATTCAACAATTTGCATTGCTGTGAAAAAATTAGACAAAGTAACGCAAGAAGGTGAGAAGGAATTCAAAACAGAGGTGAATGCCATTGCCAAAACTCATCACAAGAATTTGGTCAGATTGATTGGATTCTGTGAGGAAGGGCCGCACAAGCTTTTGGTATATGAGTTCATGAGCAATTGAACACTAGCTAGTCTCTTGTATGGAGACTGTAGACCTAAATGGAAGAGTCGCACTCAAATGGCATTTGAGATTGCAAGAGGGCTAGTGTATTTGCAGGAGGAGTGCAGCATATCCATTATTATCCACTGCGACATTAAGCCTCAAAACATACTCTTGGATGACTCATTCATTGCAAGAATCTCAGACTTTGGATTGGCAAAGCTTCTTATGAGCAACCAAACTCGCACCACAACAGCAATCAGAGGTACAAAGGGATATGTTGCT